TTCAATTAATTCAAATTTTTTAAGGTGGCCACAATTTTACTTAACTTTTTAACTCTATGCGTACTTTAGATCTTTCACATGTGATATCAAATTAAACTAATTTTCTTATCAATATTTCGATTTAGAATTTTGAAACATGTGGTAACCTTCTCACATTTATTGTTCTGATTGTTCTATTACTTAGGTGTGATAGTTTAGGTCGTGGTAATAACGGTAAGGTGCAGATAATAGTTCTTATAATATTCTTTATGGATTACCCTAATAAAAGTACATAAAAGATACATGAATATATGTATACAGTCAACCCTCCTATAACGCGGTGAGTGCGTACCGCGCCATAAGAAATGAAGAATTAGTACAAATCACATCATTCGTACAGTGTTATATAGAGACCAATAAGGAAAAGATAAATTATAAATTATTTTTATTAAATTGAAGAGTTTATATAAAGAAATAATACCAAAACTAAACTAAAAAACTGTTTTCCTACAAAAACAAGAAAGACTTTTGTAAAATTTAATCTATCAAACTTAGACCTTTTATCACATCTTGTAAATCGACATTTGGCACCCATTAATTTTCCTTATTTTCGGGGTTTCCAACACGCATTAAGCGTTCCGCGCAAGCCGATGACTCGGTTTTAACACAATCTAAAATAGAAAATTCCATCCAAACTTGGGTAAAGGTTTTATTTTCACTACTTTCTAATCTGTCGAAAATGGTTTGGAAAACTTGGCGTGTGTGATACATTTTTAAAGTTTGAATGGTCCATAAGATGTATTAATGACGTTCAGTTAGGAGGAAGGAAGACAGTTTTTACATTTGGATGATCCAGTTGTATCTTGTGGAAAACTTTGAAATATAAATTTTTTTCCATCGTATGGGTTTCCACTGCCGGGATAAAACAATTATAAATGATGAAATAAGCCGGAGATAATCTTTATGTAAACATATGCAGTTACTATGTAGTTTCTACAAGTATGTCCCACTGCCTGTACCTATATGAAACTGGCGCCATTTTCCCTTATAATTCTAATAGGCTTAACGACCTAAACAGCTTATGGGATGCTATTGACGGACCACTTATATGGAAACCGCCTTCTGAGAGTACCGCGTTATAGGAGGTTGACTGTATATGTCTCACAAGTCAGTTAGTCGTTCGCTTGCCGCAAACCCAACAACCACCTGCCACCATTTGCCGCCGCTTACCGGCAGAAGTGACGTACATATAAATACTAGTACAATGCATATGTATGCATGTGTGCGTGTGTGGGATGTGTATCTAACTATTTTCTGAGCCGCCGCCTTACCTCCATCCGCTTGCCTCAGCATTATATTATTTTCTATTGCTTGCTCCCCGCCACTTTCGTATCTGTATATTTCCTTGCATTTCCTCAACCATTTCATTAGACGCTGTAGCTAGCCGCTCACTACAGTGCTGCGCTGAGCTAGCGAAAGCCACATTTTTATTTACTAGTTTTTATTCAGTTGCTGGAAACTCGCGAAACACTCAGTCTAGTCTAGCGTCTGCGCGAGCAGCTACATACAAACAGTATAGGATCATTGCGAGTAAATACAAGTCTAATAATGGACAGACAGAATCATCAGCGACAATAGAGACACTGGTTCACACACATATGTGTATGCCCGGTTCGTGCGGGTCTTTAAATAGCAATAATCATTATATGCGCATAGCGTGGACGATCAAGTTGGTGCACATGCCGCAAAGCGTTGTAATGAGCTAGCAACACGTACTTGTGCGCATAAACAATAAAACCAAAGTTAAAACATAAAAAGAATATTGGTGCTCTTTCATTCATTCGAAAAATTTCGGCAATAAATTCAATTTGAATTCACCTACAAACTGTTATGTGTTTATATAAAAAAATATATTATTACAAAGTGCGTTCGCAAAAGCGCTGCAGCGCACGTCAGTGGGTAATGTTGAGTGAAATGTTTGGTAGGTGTATTGCATCGCTTCCATGGTTGCGGTGGGTTTGTGCAAAAATACAAAATCATAAGTGAACGCCGTCACCTGTGTGAACGCCTGAGGCAACAGCGCCGTGTCCGACGTGTCCGCCGCAGACGTTGTAGGCCAACAAGGCCGACAGTGCGAAGAATGCGAGGTTGGATTGCGGTCCGACCGATGCGGGCGACAGGTGTGGCCACAAATGTGCATATGTTTTGCCTGGACACTGCGCTGTACTTTTATTTATTTTGATAATTCTTTATTTTCTATATAAATTTGTGCTTTTTATTATTACTGATAGATGGCATATTGGCGATTCCGACGTGACCTGCGTTATGCGAAATCTCCACGTAATCAAACAAAAATGTTGCGAAATCATAGCAAAACAAATAAAGAAAACATGATGTGGAAATAGAAATTAAAAGAAATTATGAAAGTAAAGCGCAAGAAAATTGTGAATAAATAAAATAATAAAATAAAATAATTATTTCGTAATGTGTAGTAATGAAAGTGCCCGGTTAAATACATCATAAAACAAGCAAAAGTAAAATTATGACTTAGTAGGAAATGTGCAATTTAGTGTGCAAAAAGTAATTATGTAATACATAATATGTTATGTGTATTTGTGTATGTGTTTGAGCTTTACTTACTGTAGTTACTCACTTATTTGTATTCTGTTTTATAACTTGCGGTAATTACATTTTTAATTTTACAGCGAAAAATATAATTAGTTTATGAAGTTAAGCAGTTGAATAAGCCAATTATTAATTTAATAGTATTAAAAATCTTAATTAATAGATATAAATTAATTTAAGCTACACAGTTTCTAATTTAGCCTTCTGATTATATTTTAAACCTATTTTGTTGTATATTGGTTAATTAGGCATTTCGAGCATTAAACGAAGAGTTAAACAGCAATATCATCAAATATAATAATCATCAAAGCGGCTTTTAACTATAGTGAAATTTCAGGCCGGTTGTCTATATCAGCTAGTTTTAATAGTGTATGTAACCCTATATATTTCTCTGAATAGCATTCTCAGAATAACATATAAAAATATAAATCTGAAAGAGCAATTTAGCAGCATTTGTGGCAACTTATTATTAAACCCTCTTCATGTAGCGAACGGGAACGAACAAAAACTATATAAAGTTAACTTTATATAGACTTTAAACTGGCTTATATTTTTATATTCGCTGACAATTTACTCGATTTTTGTTTTATTTCGATTTTCTAACTTATCCGAGTTTGAGTTGAGTTTCTTTTGCGCCGATTGTAGATTATGCAGAAAGAATCATCTACTATGAGCAAAATAATTTCTATATAGGAAATAGTACTATTTTCACTAATTGGTAACATTTTAGGACAAAAATTCTGTCGCGGAGCAAATCTCAGTTTATATTTAATTGCCATACACCTCGCTACCAAATAGTTGTTGTAAATGTTTCGCTGTTGAAGCTCGTGGCTTATACTAGTAAACCGAAAAATATATTCTTCTGAACCGTTATAGTGTTCACAGTTCTATGTGCTTTTGATACCGGGTTTTTTGTAGCATTAATAAAGGTTTGTTAGATGCTCGTTATTGTCTCAAATATATTTTCTTTTATAATATATAATAACAAGATAATTTTTCATGATGGTTCTACCTTCATTAAGAGTTTTGAACTTATTCGTAGACCCGATAAAATGAATTAAAATCGACATATATTGAATTTATATTAATTCGAGTTTCTGTACATAGGTATATGGAATCATTCGATCATTCATGTCTCAGTAGAAGTAGACTTACTACAATTATAGTAGAGTTAGATTTCAAAATAGGTCGAATTGACTTTTCACATTACAATTTAGAAAAGCTTTACTGCTTTTGTTTAAAATTCGACTTGGAGTTCCTTTTGATGGTCACTTTTTTCAACCCACTCTTTTCGAACTGTCATGTCTTGCTCTTTCCATTGCGACATTTAGAGTCGCTGAGCTGATACCTGTTCGGCAGTGGGTCACTAATATGTCGATTCAATGCCATGAATACTAGACAAAGCGAAATGAATTCCTCCAATAAAATTGATTATGATTATTTTTTATTAATTCCTCGGTGATTTTTTTTTTGCGTTGGGTATATATAGATTTTGGAACAAGATTGATATCGTTTGCTATATTATATATAAATTTGAGTGATTCGTATTGGAAAGGAAAATTTTCTCAAACGCAAATTTCTTTTAATATTTTTTTCAATTGACAACAAGATATATAGAAATACCAGAATAACAGTTCATATAATTACTGATTTCCTTGCATCACAAGTCAAATTCTTTGTATAATTTTACAAGGACAGTGCGAACATATAATTTAATACGATCGCGCGGTTAGCCTCATTACTAACATAGCATGCCAAAAGTGAACGAAAAACTTCAAGTGGAAAAGTAGTTTTAAGACTCGCGCATAGTGAAAATCGTTTTGATTAGGCATCTGCTAAGCCGAAAATCATCGCCAATCAAGTGCCTGGCAGACGCCACTTAACGCGGAAAACACAAAACAACACCATACGCGCAACAATTAGTAGCCAACTGTTGCCTCTTAAATAACCTTTTGCAGGTGCGTGCGTGTGTTGCTGTGCATATGGGAGGGCGTGCGTGCCTCATTCGCTTATTATGTTTGAATCAATTCTCAGTCACTTGATCACGTGGCATCAAACTGAACAGCAATTGCTCGCATTTTGTGCCACCTTTTGGTGCCGCACGTAATACACACGACATTTGCATCTACAACTGCAACACAGCCGCCGCTACAGCAACAACAATAAAATCTATATACTTTTATAAACTGCTCGTTCAACGGCATTTATCAGAATTAAGTCTGCAACTTTGCACCATCACAACACTAGCGCCGTTCGTCCTCCACTCGCACACACATACACATACAAACACGAGTGGCTTATTGTAATCTGGAAAATATTATGAAGCAATATCGCGTTTTCGTTCGATTTGGCAACCACAACATCACCCAGCTCAGCCGCTGTACTCATAAGTCGTCCGCACGCCCCCTACGATCAGCCGGCCATAATGGTGAGTAGGCCACAGTTATGTTTGAAATGCATATGAACTATTGTGATTGCAGCAATGGTACATTTGTTGATGTTTCATGTGCAAACAGAGGAAAATGCAATTTGTTAGTTGAATTTTAGCGAAATTAATGAATCAATCGCTTGTCTGCTTTGCATTACACGGCGAACAGTTGTCAGTAAACCCTCTGACTTAAATGTTACGCACTCCGTCTTAGGAGAGTTTCGTTATACAGGTTTTGAATTTTGATAAGCATTATAAACAAGAACTATATCGGTCGAAATTGAATAGCAATTATCGCAAAATAAATGTGGAGTAGAAATACGAGATGTCTAAAAAGAAGTTAAGAAGTATATGTATAACTGTATATTCCCAAATTTATTATAATAAATAAAAGATAATTTGCCAAGTTGGCGGCAAGATTATACTTTTAAAAACTTTTCTTATTTAAAAAATCACATATCTCGCCAATATTGACTCAGTATTCGAAATTCAAATTCATATATGCATGTTAGATTCTCAACACCGAACAAACATTTTATGCAAAAATTTACGATTTATTGCATTTTGATGTTCGGTCGTATTGTGTTTTTACATTTTATCGTGAATTTAACTCTGATTGTTTTCTATTAATAAACACTAACGCTAAATACATTCATAAATGGATTTGTAGACTGTACTTTTGCTTATATATAAGATGTAGTTATTATTTCACTTATTCTGCTTGTTTTCATCATCAGTCGCCTCACGTTTAGTGAATGTTCGCTTTGCTAACTCATTTTGTTATGATTATTGTATGCTCAAATACAGTGACGGATAAATGTGATCATGTTGCATTTCAAAATTGGGAGAAGTTATAAAATGCATATTAATACGTTTGAAATAAATTATCATCAGAATATATTTAATAATAGGGAGACAAATGTTTTATATTTAATATTAAATTTCAATAACGTTCTTCCATCTGAATCTGAATTGACTGACATTTCACACTTTTCATAATATATATTTAAGTTATATAACATGTATATATAAAAAAAACTATAGTATAAGTGTAATAAACATAATTAACAAACAAATGTATTTTGTAGAGAATGTAATTAACCCTTGTTTGCCTTGGTTGAGAATAAAATAAAGTAGCTAGTGATTGCTTTAGATTTTCGATGTTCAATTTACTTTCATGGAAATAGCACATATTTTTTTACAATTCAAATTATCTTTTTGGAAATGAGTTTTCCACAATGACTCATTACAAACTGAGAAGCATCGATTTCGTTTTCAAACTAATTGTATTTCACCTCCTTTGGTTTTTATGAAGTGATTTGATTTAAAGATTAATTAAAAAGTTCTATCAATAGAATATTATCACATATTCTAAATGTTTTACTACTATTTTTTGGCATATTTCTGTTTTTTGTGCTTATCTAATATTATCTCATATCATTGGAATCAGCTAAACATTAAAGAATTGTTTTTAGAAAACATTATTTTAGTCAGACGAATTGAAAGAACACATTCCATCCGATCAAATCAACTACATAAATATGTTAGACCATCAAGGGTTGAAAAGAACGTGCCAAATCAACTAACTAACTTAATGTACTTGCATCATTCTGTCATGTGTAAAAGCACCTACCTAAACAAGTAAGGAAGGGCTAAGTTCGGATGTAACCGAACATTTTATACTCTCGCAAAGTCAAATAGTATACTCGTTTGAGATTTATTTGTCAATTGACTGATATTTTCGGTAGAAGGTCAACTATAGGCACTAGGGTCCACATATTTAGCACTTAGGGGCTTGAACAGTTTTGGTTAGATTTAGACAATTTTTGATCACAACGTGGCATACTTTAAACGTATTATTCACGCAAAGTTTTACCCCAATATAATCATTGTTGCTTGATATGCATAGTGGAAAGTGAAAGAATCAGATGAAATTGAAAATGGTGTTATATGGGAAATAGGCGTGGTTGTAGTCCGATTTCGTTCATTTTCGCAATATAACATAGAAATATGAAAAGAACGTTATGCACCGAATTTGGTTGAAATCGGATAAGCAGATCCCACGATATGGGTTTTCACCTAAAAGTGGGCTGTGCCACGCCCACTGTCTAATTTTGAACGCGGTTCCTATAAAGTCATCTCATGCCATTTAAGAGATAAAATTTAATGTCTCTGGCGTGTTTATTGCTTGATTTATCGCGCTTTTAGTAGTTTTTAACAGTACCGTTATATGGGGAGTGGGCGAAGTTGCCACCCGATTTCAACTATTTTCACATCGTCAATAGAAGTGCTAAAAACATTTGCTTCCAGTGAAGTTTGTTATTATATCATTAGCGGCTTAGGAGATATGCACATTAAACCTATTAGAGGCGGGATCACGCCCACTTTTAAACAAATTTTTTAACTGCAGATGCCCCTCCCTAATGTGATCCTGTGTACCAAATAACAGTCTTGTATCTTTTTGCGGAGCTTAGTTATGGCAATTTATTTTATTTTTTTGATTAATGGCGTTTAGTGGGCGTGTCAGTGGTCCGATTACGCCCATCTGCAATACCAACCGTCTCACGGTAAAAAGAAACATGTCTACCAAGTTTCATAAAGATATCTCAATTTTTACTCA